ATATATGATATATATTAATAAGGATTATTGGATTAGTCGTAGTAAAAAAATAAAAAAAAGATAATTTACCACACTACTGTGTAGGTCTAAAGATATATACGTGCGCGCGCGCATGTCACTGTAATTATAATATATTTCATATATAAATATTTTACTTTGAAACATGTAAAACCAATTTTATAATTAAGACTAATTTTATTCTCGTACATACTTTTTTTTTATAGATTGACGTATAAAGATTATTATCTTATAAATAAGGAAGAAAGATGCATGAAAAATACAAAAAATATTGCATGCGTATGATAAACGAAGGTATTGCAATAGCCTTGAAGTATGCCCCCACCCCGCTTCTTTACAGCAAAATAAATCGCCAGAGCGATTGGCGTAAATTCGCGGGGCCACTGATCCACGATGGAATTTGAATGTGAGCTCGAATCCACGAAACGCGTTGAGCTCACACATCGTCCTGCACTTAGTTGTCCTTAAAGGTCCAGCACACGAGGTCTGAGGGAGGGCGTGGATGGTCCAGGACCCAGAATCGATCTAATTACGGCGTTTCCGACGAAACTGCCAACACTGTTCATGTCTCGCGCTCCCTCCGTCTGCTCTCGAGAAAACAATAACAATAATGAGGAGGGGGAGGCTAGGAGAATAAATGTCGACCGCTGTAAGACGAGGTGCCAGACTGACGTTTCAATGCCGAGGGCCCGGAGGATGCCATTGTTACGTGGACCCGCTTCTCTTGGGCCTCGGGAAACACGACACTCGAAAATTGTACGTGCGTGTGAGCGCGCGCGCGCGCGTGCGCCACCGGCCCGCGTTTTTTGTCGCCCCGAACTCTCCCCGACCTCCGTCATCGTTCTTTGATATTTCCTCGGGTCGCTCGGGAGCTTTGGTCCATGCGTCGATCATTGCTCCTGACGTACTCGTGAAAACATCGCCGATAGCTTCTCTTACGTGAGAGGCTCTTGTATGCCGCTATCGCGCTAGAATTATGAGGCAGTTCGTTATGAAGTCCTTTATTCCCTCTTCTTTTTTTTTCTTTCTTTCTTTTTTTTTCAGATTAACCTTTAGAAATTAGCGTCACGTTCCGTTGGCATTTGATCATTGAAATCGCTCGTCACTGCTTTTGAATCGTCACCCATTCACCTTGTACGCGTAACTCCGAGAAACGAGTATCGTATTAATTAAGACATTTCTAGTGTATCGAGTGTTTCGAGCGAAGGTTACCCAATGCGAAGCTCACACATGACATTGAAACACGAAAAATATTCGTGATGTATTGTGAAAGTAGTTCTGTCAATAATTGCGCGTTAAGATCGGCCCCTGGCTCCGCTGGTTTATTATAAGCATGTCATTAAGCAAGGCGTTGGGCCCCTCCGAGTCGAGAACAGCAGTTTGAGCTGAAAGTAAAACAAAAAAAACAAAAAAAACAAAAAAAAACAAAAAAAAAACAAAAAAAAAATGCGGAGCGAGGGGGCGAAGGGAAAGGGTTTGGTCGAGTCCGTTCTTACGTTTTGGTTGAACTCTATTGTGCTTTGGCGAGACGCTGCAGGTCTGTCCGACACTCGGCTCATTATACCACTAATTATTTACAGCGGGCGCGTCGATTCTTTGTTTTCTTATTCCAACGAAACTACGCAGTTCCCTCTCAAAGTGGGAGTTTGCCTATAATTTCCTTCCCCTTCCTCTCTAGATGCTTCTCCTTACTTCCTGAATCTTTGAGAGCGTACCCCCCCCCAAACCCCCAACCCCTCCCCGTTCCCCAGATTTCAGCATTTTTCCTTTACTCACTGCGCCTTTTCGCTCTCTTTACTTAGCCGTCGCGACTCCGAGCCATTTCGAACGAGACAATTAACTGCCTGATTTTCCTTTTTAATGAAAGGAGACGTCGTCGATGAGTCTCGGCGCACGATTAGCGAGCGCCAGGGCTCCGACAATCCAATAGCCGTCATCGTCTCAATCGAGTTACCGCGCAATGCCAGCGCAGGAAGTGGGAAAATGCAGTGGGGAAGGGATACGGCGCTTCCTTGAGACGGAGATAATGGGAAAATATAGGAGGGTACGATAGGAAGTCGACGGGCGGATACTCGTTTACCTTTCTCTCTATCTCACGCTTGACGAGAGCATCGGACGACTAAGATGACAACGGCGACGGGGCCGACTTCGTTGCGATCTTCATTAGCGTTATGACGTCCTTGGTCTTTGGTAGAATGAAGATAGAATGGGGGGGGGGGGGTAGAGGAGTGGGGCATGGTTAGGGTAGCGGCGGGGTAAGGGGCAAAGGGTACATGAATCTATCAAAATTTAAATACTTCCAGTGCACTGGCAATAGAAAGATCGATGCGCGATTAATTGATTCGTTTGCGGACTTGCGGAATGGGGAAGCCGGCAGGGAATGGAAAAAACCCGTATGCAAATCAATGTCCAATATATTTTTATCGTGTACTATGTATACATATTTATTTATTTATTTATTTATTTATTTATTTATTTATTTATTTATTTCTTTATCCTAACGTATCGATTACGTGTTTTATTTATTCGTTTGTTTTGTGTGGTCGCGCTTAACAAACAATTGGAGAATGTCCAACCAAAAGAGAAATTCATCAAAAGTACTATAATAATATGAAAATAATCGACCTGCATTCGAACAGAAAAATAATAGGCAAAGTAAGTTGAATGAGACTTGAGATGCCGAGTCTTTGGCTTTTGGCTTATCGATCCACTAATAAGTATCTATAGTGTGGAAAAAGGCCTGCACTAGGTGGAAAAAATCAGCATAATGCACGCAGAGATGAAAGTAGATGGTGGGGTACTCCGGAGTAGCCGAGAGTAGCTTGATAAAAGCATCGCTCGCTGCAAACGAGGCATCTCGTCGCTCCGTCAGGGCCGCGGAGGCACGAGGCGCGGGACGCGACGAGACGTCACACAAAGATATATCGATTTTCGGTAACTTGATCTTGAATGGCTCTCAATTACGTGCGCTTGGAGGCTAAGTGCTTGTTTCGCACCTCAGGGCTCAATATGCCTATTAATTTACCCGGGGGCCCCGGCACACAAGACCAGAGACGCCGCTGATGTCTTAATGATATCATCGCGGGTTATCGGCTGCCACCGTCGGCCACGACGGGGAGAAGATTTATCGAGTGGCAGGCAATTCGCGATCGCTGTAGGCAAGAGGCTTTAAATTTTAATCGGATAGAACGAATCGGCCAGGGGGCGCAAGTCCTTTGTTTTCCTGCGGCCTTCCGTCGAGGTGGCTAATACGGTGATTGGCATCTTCTGCTGATCTGCAATCCGAACAATGGAGTCTGTATGCACGTGCGATCGAATTTTTTCGATTACCAGATTCTCGAATCCAATTTTAAATTTGAATATCATGTGTGAAACTTCAACGATGAATAATTAATTGAGCATTTCTCATTTCGCTTTTTATAGTTGAGAATATTGACGTTTGAGAGGTGATTGTGATCGATGCTTTGTGTATGTATGGCAAAATATTTTAGAACCACGAATTATAATGTCTACATATTAAATTTAGTACATACATACCTTGATAATTATTCTACATCGTTAATTTGTGTTTTTCGAAAAAACAAAATAAAAATATTATCAAAATAAATACTTAACGCGCATGCGAAAGTAGGCAACGTACATAACAAAGTACAAATCTTAATTTTTCCACTCTATTATTTAATCTACCAGCTTCTTCATTGTCCTTACTTTTATTAATTTTTTCTTCTTCTGTTTTTTTCAATAAAATTCGAAAAAATAAAAATCTTTTCCATTCGGCTAATTACAAGATAGTAATGGTAACGTTTTTGTGAATTTATCACCTGAAGCTGCAATATTATATTGCAATGCCAATATGGAATGTCAGAATTAGAGTAAATTAAATTAAGTTTGCGCATAAGAAGACGTTTGTTTTTTTTCTGTTTTCTATTGTTAATCATATTCAAGAGCTTAGAATTATTTTTTTTTTGTCTTTTTCTTTCTAAAATTTCCTCAAATGTAATGAAATTTATAAATGTAATCTAATACTTTACAATCAATTGAAAATGTTATTTATGAATAATAACTAATTACATTTTATGTTAAATTAATTAAGTTGACATACAAATTAGTCCAAGTCTTTGGCATCCGTAATCTTTTCGTTTTCAATTATAAGTATAATTAATTTTTTAATTGAAATTTTAATTAATACTTGAATCTCAATGCAAGCAATTGCGTCGATGCCTAGGATAGTATAATAGATATTTTAATATTAGTAGTGAATGAAAATCAGCTATTGTCTGTATTGAATTATTCTCATTAATTAATAACAATAGATTTATTGTCACATACGTTGATGTAAATGGCAAACTTATTGAAGTAAATTTAGTAAGCTTACCTTTAAGAAATCGATATATTATGATTTTTATAAATAGAAGAATGGAACATGACCTTATATCAATTAGAGTTATTCGCAATATACGTTACAAACTATCATTGATTTTATTAAAGTAAGTAGCTTTTTTTCCTTTTACAATAAAAAGCGAACAAACAATAACAAAAACAAATCAAGAACATAAGTTATTAAAATGCATAAAAATACAGTGTCATAGAGTAATACAGTGGTGTAGGTATTATTTGAATGAATAATTTCGATTATAATGTTGCTCCAGTCTATTAACATTTATGAATTGATAATGAATATATGAAAATACTTTAACCACCTGTAAATGATTCAGAGTTTGTAATAAGCATCTTGTTTTTCAAATGCTTGATGGCTTCGTTGGGTAAGGTAGACTAACCGTGTCGACTAACAAAGTAATATTAATAGTCCATAATATTAATAGGACAATGATTAATGCATTGCAAAGTGACTTCTATGCTTTGAGCTAATGTTGTAAGGATGAAGGAAAAGGTCGAAGAAAGAAAAAGGAGGTGAAAGTTTGAAGCGGCGGTGCATGCACATCGTCCACAGGAAGTATGTCGATCGAGCGTATGGACCTTACCGTGAGGCGAGCTGTGCTGAGTGGGACTGCCCTGGTGGTGATTGCCGGCGACTCCGGTGCCGGATATGATGTGCTGCGCGTGCGCAGCCGGATGAACGCCCAGGGCTCCGGGTGACTGTCCCGTGAGCTGTCCGGGCTGGTGCACCTGGTGGTGCGCCACGTGGTGTGCCGGATGTGGGTGATGGGGCGGCGGGAGGAAGGCCGCTGCCACGGCCGCCTGAGCGTTGAGGTAAGCCATGCGCGAAGCCGTGAGGTTGCCAAGGTTGCCGAGATGGTTGGTTAGGGGCGCCATGTAATCCCAGAGTTTGTGATGGGGCGCCGCCGGGGCGTAAGAAACAGCAGAGACGCCGACCGGCGGCGAGCTCTGGGGCGAACCTCTCTCGCCATTGTTGTTGTTATTGTTGTTGTTGTTGTTGTTGTTGTTGTTGTTGTTGTTGCCGCCACTGCTGCTGCTGCTGTTGTTGTTATTGCCGCTGCCACCGCTGCTATGGTTGTTGTTGTTGTTGTTGTTGTTGTTGTGGTGGTTGTTGTTGTTATTAACGGCGGCGGCGGCGGCAGCTGCAGCTGCAGCGGCCGCGGAGCCAATTGGATTGCCGGCCCCGTTAAGGCCCAACAGCTCCTGGATGGCGAAGGGCGAGCGCTGCGGCATTTTCGCGTTCGCTGCGCGCGACTGCTGCTGAGACGCGACGGCGACGCTACTACGTGCCTCAGGCCTGCATCCTCCGCTCAGGTCAACCACGTCCACGATTTGATTCAGGATGGTCGTCTTCGGGTCGACGGCTGGCAGCCTCGAGGGCCGCGCGCTCGTTCCGTCGTCTAGTAGTGAGGTTATTCCCACTTACATCGAGCCCAGGGCCACGAACGATCCCGAGGGTGAGTTTCGTCGTGCCGATAACGAAACACGGCGTTTTATCGGGCGGACGGATTTATTACCCTCGACCCAATGACTCCTGGTGCTCGGAGGCACTCGAGCTCTTTAAATAAGCGACAACATGCACCTACTACTTCAAAATTCTACTCGATCCGACGGCCTTCCCTGCTTTATCTATCTACCTTACTTCCTATCGTTTTATCGCTATCGCGACAGAAATTCGTTGATTAGGTACTTAGCGAGCTCGGTGATTTTGAGATTTATCGGTGAATCGATTTATCGAATGTAAACAATCTCGAAGCTAAGTGTTTTCATAAATCTCCATGATTCGTGATGAACGGCCACTTTGCTCCTTCGTTGATGTTGTCGTCGATTCACTCGTGCATGTATAGTGTAGCGCTCGAGATCCGACGGCGCACGAAGCGACGGTAAATTCGTTATATCTGCATTCAGCTCATGAGCTTCTTCTTTCTTAATTGTTTTAAAGAAGCTTTGCTCGTCGTCGACCCTTAGCCCTCAACACACGAAAATTCGTTTCTGTAGTTTTTTGCCCAAATTCGCGCATCAACTCTTACGACACAAAGTCACGAATCTCACGTGCGTTGTCACTTCGTATGAAACGAGCGCTACAAGCGTCGATGGTGAAGCAATTGAGAGGGGAGAAGAGGCCCTTGTCCCAATCTTACCATTTCTCTCGTTCAATTGGTGGCTGAGAGAGGGTGTGCGTGTGTTATGTACGCGTATGTGAAGAATTTTTCATTTTTTCCCCCCCTCTCTCTCTCTCTCTCTTCGTCTTCTTTTTTATTATTTTTATTTCCTTGTTCTCAGTAGCGATTACCTCGATCCGCGATATGTCCTATCGGCTTCACTGTCGAACGTCGGGACAAAGGAGTTACGAAATTACTTTATGGAAATTTCGTGAATTTTGCGATCCGCTGTTGAACTATCCGCCCAATCGGTGCCCGACATCCCGGTGAGCTTATTCGCAAAAGTCTATCCTCTCCCGGGAGTGTAAGATGCACGTGTACGCGGTTGTCTCGGCTCACGCACTTCGTCAAAGGCGACTCGGCACTCCTCTCAGCTGACCAGTGCACAGCCACGCGCTCCCAAGGTGATATGTACTTGGAGGCACACCTAACCATGCGTACGTAGGCCTAGAGCCGTCCTGGGGCTTGGTGAAAAAAGCAGCGTATGTCCGTGTCGTAGTCGCGACGGTGTGCAACTGAATGGATGCAGCGCCGCGCTGCGTTGGGGTGGCTCCCGACTCTCACGTTTTCTTGCTCTCCCTCCCTCTCTCTCTCTCTCTCTCTCTCACCCTCTTTCTCCGTCACTCGGGTTCGCGCGCGCGCGCGCGAGATCACGGGCAAACGGGCGGGCGGGCAAGAAGGGAGAGCCTCTCCGCCCGGCGTCACCCCACCCGCGACTAAGAGCAACCCCCGCCAGGAGAAAAGTAGGCTTGCGCGTCGCGCCTACTTTGCGCCCAGCCGCGACAGTAGCCGTCTCGTATCGCCGGATTGGTCAGTTTTTTCACGCCAAGGCCGTAGCCCTAGTTAGAGACGCGCAGTCGGGGTCCCAGGGGGCTGGAGAGGGGACTGCAAGAAGGTGGGCTCTTCTGAGCTGACACGCCTGCGCTGTCCCCGCCGCCCCCGCCGTACCGAGCGCGACCTATCGAGAAACCATTGACGAGATTTCTCGACTGCTCGGTTGTAGATGCGTTCACGCCTATGAAGCAGAGGAACGTCGAGGAGTCCGAGGCGGACAAACGTCACGATCGCTCGCACTTACGTTCCGTTTGCACAAAAGGAGAACGAGACTAATCGCCGCCGTGGTACACGAGGTGAGGTTAAGGCCATCCACGGGACGTTACGGATGTACGTCGACTCTGATTTGTTAGCTTCATTCGTCTGTCTTCCCTTCATTAAATACGTCATCCCATTTAGTAAAGGGACTTCCATTTACTCGCACTTCCATCTTCTATCCAATAAATGTTACGTAAGATTATTTCCTTTCTAGTATTTACTGTTTGTACAATATACAGACGTAGCAGCTTCTATCAATTTATAATCATACAAAAATTGTTGACAATCTCTAATAATAATAATAATAATCATAATAATAATAATAATAAAACAATAATAATAAAACAATAATAATAATTCATCCGTTAACAGTCTACTTAACGAATAACAAAGTCAATAAAAACATTATTACCCACGCACGCGCACACAAAACAGTTTTTACCCATTTAAAAAACCTTTTAAAGATGAATTTGGCATGTTTTTTTACCGATCAATCACTACGTGTACATTTTTTCTATATGTCAAGTTGTAATTTAGGTTTTTTTATCGATGTATAGAATGAAATTTATCCCAAACGTCATTTTAAATATACGATTTTATCAATGAGTTTAAAATTATTTAATCCACGCCAATACATCACCAACTAAATGTTAATATACATGTGCATTATTGAAAGAAATAGCTCGTAATAAACATAAATTTTACGGTAAATTCTAAATTATAATGCCAAGCATTAATTATGGATGTTTATTTTATACATATTGAATTATTAGCAATGGAGCAAATTATGAAAAATAAAAATTAAACTTTATAACTAATAAAGAGGGGGAAGTCAGTTGTACATTATTGATAATTAGAAGATTTACCGTTAAAATAATATCAATTTTCGTAAGAATTTGTATTACAAAAATACACACGATAGAAATACACGAAGAAAATAGTTGTCCCATTTGCTTTCTACCTACTAACGTAATATTCCACATCTCGACAGCGGAACTACACGTTAATTGGTTATATTTTTAGAGTATGTAGAGTATTATAAAGACATTGGGAGGATAAGGCAGTTAAAGTCAATTATTGCGTAACATAAATATAAGCATTTATATTGCTTTGATTGTACTCGTATATGAAGAGCATTTTACTAATATATTATTTGACGGTGCGATTGTAAATCGTAGAAAGAATTCGATAAATATCGCTGATTAAAATTAGTGTGTAACATAAATTCAGACGAGAATGCAATATTAGCTTTGGATGCTGAAGCACGTCGATCGATAAGGGCCTTGCGAGCTCGGTGGCGACACGAAGCCCCAGCAAACGCCGACCGGACCTCGATGAGGATTTGCATGGGCCAGTGGCTTCTGTCAAGCACCGGGCCTCTATCGTCTTCGTGGGAGTGGCCAAAGGAGGGATAAGCGGCCAATCGTCGCGCGCGGCATTCATCTCTCATTGGCTATCGAGCAAATCGATTTACCAACTCTTACCCCTCCGCAAGCGGCATCGCGAGTCTCGCCTCGAACTCGTCCTTGGCGCTGGGGTCGCTTCTTTAGCAGCTCGCGACACTGCCAATTTGCAGCGGTGAGAAGCGAGGCGATTTCCTTAACCTCGCCTCGAGTGCTGCAGGACGACTCGAAGCCGCGGCAGTAATATTACCTGAATTTTAATAATGATTCGGCCCTCCTCGTTGGAATTTGTATTTTTATATTTTCGTTGAGAGCTCGGAGATGATTTGTTATTGACTCTTCTTATTCCGCGGGGCTACTTATTTATCTTGTTTTACGTCCAAATACTTAAATTATGAATAAATATATATTATCTTTTGCAATTATTAGCTGCTAATTTACAATGCTAAATCACGAAGATGCATTCCCGTCTGTAGTTTTTATTTCTAGCAAAATATAGTGAAAGTTGAAATAGCAGGTCATTCTATTTTCATTAACTGGCTAATATCTGGCACACGGTTAATTAATAATTGATAAATTAATATATAAATGCAAATGGAGAGTATAATAAACTATTATTGTAGAAGTAATTGAAACTTGGAGGATTAGATTATATTAATTAAATTGAAATTTGATTAACTTTAGTTGATTCTATAAACACATGAATTATGCTTAAAGCGCTTACATGTATGATATGATAGATTTGTTTTTCCTTCTAACATAATAGATGACTATTCACTCTCTTACTATTGTAATTTATAGTTTACTTATTTATAGATAATATAATTGGTCGATGTAAAATGTATATTACTTAAAAATACAAAAACGTTATATTTATCTATCTATCTACTAAAGTATACATTCAATATTTCTTTCTGTCATAATTTTTATTCTTAATTAGTCGAGATATTTTATAATGGATATTTAACAATGTTCGGAGTAACGTAGTGTCACAATATCTCACAGTCATAAAAAATGCCAGATATAATAAAAAAAAAAAAAAAAAAAAAAAAAAAAAAAAAAATTGATATACATAAATAAAATTAAAAATACTAAAGTCAGGATAATGCCCCGGCAGATGGTAATAAGCATTCGAAATAAAGTTCTTGTTATTATCTCTAAGTATTATTGGAAGCACAAAATAATAAGTGTACAACATGGTTTTCAATTAGCTGCAATCCTTAGGAACTGCAGGAATTCCGTCACGCCACACCGTAACTGGTACTTTGGGATGGTTAGCTTTACCGTTTTCAACTAATTTCGGTGACTAATACGATTTCTCACCTCTCGCCCGTCCGAGCAAACCAAACTAAGACTCTTCTAACGAGGCTGGCAATTTTCACAAACATCTGTTACACCCACTAAATTATTATTCCTATGAGGTTACTTGTACAAGCTAGAAAAGTCAAAAAGGAAAATACTGATTATATTCCTATTTTAAAGTAACGATGAGACACATTTATAAATTTGCACTATGTATATATATATATATATATATATATATATATATATA